AACCTATGCCCCGGGACTTGGAGTGGTGAACCACATTAGGCCCCACTAGGTTAGGCGTGGTATCGAATCGGACGACAGCAAAGCTGCCTACCAACAAGTTGGGTGGTGATGGGGGTATCGAACCTCGAACCACAGAGCCCAAAGCACGCCAGTGACAGCCACTAAACCACTGAACTGAATCAACTCCAGGAGACAATGCTACCAAAAGCTGATGGTGTGGATTGAGCTGCTGGAGTCAGGAATGGCTGGATCGTTTCAGGACCATGTTACAGGCGGGTGATGGTTCGCGTCTTACAGGAAAACTTTCAAATAATTGCTAGAGAATTGGATACAGTGCTAGATTCCTAGGAAGTACGTGGAACGATTTGGTTCCCCCAAGATAACGCTACGTCGAACTACGCGCGATTAGAAAATATCCAAATGAGGTATTTCCAGGAAATTGGATTGGTCGATGAGGCTCATCACACTCGCCAGATATCACCCCAGTAGACTTATTTTAGGGAGGTGGAGGACTTGAGGCACATGGTTTACCCAAGGCAGTCACAATCAATGACTATTGTAGAAGGATGTTATGCAATCCCGGAAAGAATTGTGGTCAGGGAACCTTGTTTCATACGAATGCTTCTCAGTAAATAAAATGCCGATCAGAACTTTGGACATACAATGCAATAACGTGAACCCCAAAACAAGCCGTTTTTAGAATGACAGCCCTTTTGCCCAGTGATCTATTTGCCCAAATTTGGTTACCTTTTCATGGTGAGATGAATCAACGTGTTAAGATCTGGTGTATATCGATCCCCGTCCTACTTTGCACTGTTGCAACGTACCACCTCAAGGAATGACACCACATCGATCGATAAACGCCTCAGTGAATTGCTCTGAAATTCCTGGCATATCACACGAGACACAGCTTGCAAGTCAGCTTTCGACCGAGGTATGCTTACTCAGTGAGTTCTATGACCAACAATTCGTTGTGAACCGGACTTACCGGGGTTTTTTACTTCTGTCGTCCGGTCGACTAGGTTCAAAACATCTGGTGTATTCAAAAAAGGTGTCCAGTGTTTGAAGATCCGACGGAATTTAAAAAACTGCGCGTTTGTAAGTTAACCGTAATAAACTATGACTATGATCTGTCAAACTGTCCCACAATAAGCCACCGACCCGCTGTTGCATTCTCGTACAACTGGGAAATAGTTCGAATGTAATTGATGAGGGCGTTTTGCGTGACCTGATCTGTAACTGCGGAGAGAAAAATAGTTACGTAGGCATTCTTTGTATGACTGCGCGGATCAGATTTGGTGAACCAGGTTTTCTATCCTCTGACTGTGCAGGTCGAAGCATTTAGCAACCGAGTGTTTTGGATCCCAGATGTTTACGTTCCCTCACCTAGGTGCATGATCAAGATGAACACTCTAAGCACGAAGCCAATCGTTCCTTTCCCACCATGTTGCTGATGAATTTGTAGCAGAAAAAATGAAAACATTCGGTTCATGGGTCTTAACGGTATATTTGAAATTGAAACGTCTATCACATTCGTAATTCAACCGATATAGTACCATTATCACGTCCTGCGTGGCACTGGATCGAATAGGATGCCAGCACAGTTTGATAATGTTGCACGTCACAATATGAGCCCTTTGTGCTTCACTTTCGATCAGTTCGAAATTTCATCTGCTATCGGTCCATTACCACAAGCAGAATAAATCAAACATGATACGAGGACAAGAATTGAAATAGAAAAATAAATTGGCGAGCGATACGAAATTATCGGCCACATTATATGTGTAACTACGGGCAGTTCGTACCCGACACATTCTGGGGATCGCATTGGGTGCACAGCGTACATTGTGCCAGATAGCAAAGGAAAAGACATGCGATCAAGGAAAATATGGTATGTCAAAATACGTTTTTGCTTATGAAAGACAATAGGTCGGTTAGAGACAATTGTTCACATTTTCTGGCTGCAACCGGGGAACAGACTAGGAAACCAGTAGCTACACTCCCCACAGGGATCTGCATCATCCACCCAAGCCAGTCCATCTTGAACAAGATGATTGAGAGCAGCTACGGCCCGATCCTCGTTCCAATTGAAACTGAAAGCAATACAAATATGGAATTGGAGATTTAACCGTTTTTTCCTTCAAAGTATATTCATCATCCAGAGCCATCGTGTCACATATACCGCTTACAAGATTGGTATTGAACTGACTTGTGCAGGCAGCTATATCTACTTTTCAGTGATAAAATGTGATGAAACTGTCGTGTAGAGCAACGGTAAAAATATGGATTCATAATGAGTTTGTACAGGGCCACATTATGGTCGGTTAGCATGCTAGTCAATTGTTGAATTTTGATACACGTTTACATGAAACTTTTAGCAGGGAAAATTGTATCTGACTGTAGCATGGGAACGGCAAGCAAATAGATTGGGACTAAGTAGATGACTGGGACTGTCAAGATCCTTTTAGACGAAATTACCGCATGAGACTGTATAAAGGTGACAGCTTTTTGTATAGTTTTTTTTAATTTCTGAAGCAACCTTGTCTCTGTGTATGGAGGAAAATGCAAGAGTTTTTAATTTAGGAATATACGACTGATGATAATGATCTTCAAAATGCTAGAAGTGAAAATAAAATATGATCTTGTATTGGTGGTGAACTACGCATTTTTCTGCCTGCTTGACTCAGCTTTCCCCTTCGGCCAACGACGATCATACAAAGTGAGGACACTGCTAAAGTTACTTCACACAATTTGGTACTTACTTTCGGCAACATTCAGACAGAGTCGTTCGCCCCGAACCAGTTTCTGCCAGACCAAGAACGTTTGTTTTGTCCATACTCATCTCACCCGGTACGGACTGTACCAAAGAACGCCCCCCAGCCAGACGAATCAGCATAAACCCGGTCCCCAAGCAACGTAACTTCTTGATTGATCGTTGCACATCATCGTGACCGATTTCTGAGGAGTAGGCACTTCGAGTTCGATTTAACTGAGCGACTAGTTCATCCAGAGGCATGATTCCACCGGTCCGTTTTTCATTCGCCATACACACCTAAAATGAGACGTGATATGAAAAAAGACAAAACTGCGTATCAGTAAGATCACCAAAAATGAGATTGATAGTTAAACCTATGCTCGAAGTCATAATATCCCCGAACTAAAAATGGGCGGTGCCTGTGGAAATGCATCATTGATGAGCTCTGAAGAGAGCGAAGCTGGAATTAAGTGCATCCTGATAGTATGATTAAGTGAACAAACTGAAGATCGTGCGTTGAAGTGAATAACATTAGTTCCACACTACTCAAAAGTACTGCGAGTGAAAAATATTATCATTATTATTCCTGTGTAATGTTTCCGGTGAAACTAGGGTGAGAACTATATATACGAGGGGCAACAGACGTGCCGACCCTGTAATAATCACTTTCTTCAGTGTCGTTAAATATTTTCATGAAAAAACACGAAGGGAATGTTGTGGTTTTCTGGGCATAACTCTCGTCAATCACCGAGGTATCAGAGATTCAAGGACGCATCGATTGCATCCAACAGCAATATCATCTTACTGAGTGCATATGAAATCCTAATGGTTCAAGCACCGTCCAATGACAGAGTAGTTAATCAGCACTTGATTCTTAAGATAGAACTTGATCGATTTTCTCTTTTGACGACAATGATTATGGCAAGTCTGCTCTCAAGTGACGAGTAGACGCAATATTAAATTGTCTGCTAAATTAAATGAAATCCGAAACTGCGTTGGGGTTAGCACTTACTTCAATAATCCGAACTCCAAGATGGTAGTAGAATTCACCCAAACCCAATGTTTCTGACCAACAGCCACGACTATAAGAGATAGGATCGACACCAATACTGGCACACATGGCCTGGAATTGTCCCCGAAATTGGGGATCATTTTTTATTTTACTCCCATGTTTGGCAGCGAATGCCTCCAACGACTGACGTAATTGATCCAATTGACGTGACAAATTCGCCAGTTGCGTTTCGGCCAGTTCACCACCTTTTTCTTTGTATTTTGCCTGGGCTAAGTTGTAATTTTTTATAGCTCCGATTCCAGCACCACGACGCATTTTGAAGAGACCAATAGCTGAAATGAGGAAAAAGAAAGATATATTAGTTTAATCCGTTGTTGGCAGACCCGAAAGAAACGCGTAGGATGTATGATTCTGCCTTCGACATCTCGAGGCTTATGCCGATCGTTTTCCTTACCCTACGGTAAGTGACGGCTTCGACCCAAGCCATCTATATACATATATTCCATTTCGCCTGTTCGCCGAGCTTGGTAATTTGTTCGCAAACGTTTCATTACCAGCCGTGTGTGTGAAGTGGCAGTGTTCTGCTTGTAAGAACTACTCAAAACAATATATCAGACAAATTACTTACTTTACTTTGCTGCGGCTGGCTCCTTGGAAAGGATAAGCCGGCTCTAGACATGATCATGGAGTTCCTTGGAAGTTTGGCACGAGAGACGTCCCCAGAGTTCATCGGCGTTTTTTTTTATTTTTAGGGGGCATCACTAGCTTTCGCGCAACCAAGTGCGAACTGCAAAGGCAGCAGGAAATAATCCCTCACCTCGGAAGTAAGGAGGTCAATGACTTTAGTTTTTAAAGGCCAGTCACATCGACCTTTGTCACGACAGTCATTTGGCTTATGCGGCTTTTGGACAGGAGCCAGGTGACTAGCCTAAAACCTACCACACCCTGGTAGTGCCGCCGTTGTTTGTTCGCGACTGCTTATTTGTTGCGGTATGCCACAAAGTATTCAAAGCTAACCTTCTTTAGTGAAGGTGTCCCCCTATCCACAATCCGGGGACGCGCCTGGTAGCATTCAGCTCCGCTTAACCCGAGGGTATCCAGGTATCAGACAAATTGGAAGAAAATTATCATCAGGGATCCGTAAACATTAATCAGCAGTCAGGAGACATGACACATTTTCGTTGATTTCCGTTCAAAAATATCAAGGAGGTTAAACTGACTTCGAATCAGTGAAAATGATCCGCCAGGTGCCGTCAAAACACACCAGAGAATTTCTCAAGGTTTGGAACTCTTTAATCAACTCAATGAACAGGCACCTCGAACTGAATTACGTGTACAGGCCAATGCAACTCTAGGCTTACATAACGCAACAAAAAGTCAGGTCGTGACTTGAGAACGGACTAAAACCACAATCAAGACGGAAGAACAATCCCCCACCGTCATTTCCCCGCACAAGTTCAACGGAGGACCCAGTCAAACACAGTGAGAACAAGAGACAAAAATAGACGACAGAGAAGAACGCAAAAGAACGAGTAAAAGCAGACCACCGCCACTGATGATATCACCTCGGCTGGCGATGACACTTGCAAAAACAATTCCTACGCTCGGTGAACATTGTAAATGGAATTCAGTTTGCCCGGGTTACGAGAACCGATTTTCAATACTCTGTCAATATATATATATATATATATTTCATTGAAGCAGGGCATAGTGTGGATAGTGCAAATGAAGGAAAAAGTGGTAAACAATCTCGTTCTCAGTTATTCATCATTAGGCAAACACGTCACATATTCAGTGCCGCGCATACGAATATCAGCTTTACACTTCCGTACGGTTGCTCTGGTTACGGTCTTTTTGTTAACCATTTGGATGTGGGAGCTGAAGGAACAGGTAAAAAGTTGGAAGCGATAGCAGAGTAAAGATACAGATACAACTGAACCAAATCTGCGAAGAAATTTTGTAATGTTAGAGTGTCACTATTGCAAAACACAGTATCGGTAACGATTGGCGAGGTCGATCCCGGGGTCCCTAGCCGAGAAGCTGAATGCAACCTACATGCCCCAGTCCAGTGGTCAGAAATTTGAAGATCTATACAAAACGGCCCACCTCTGAGCGAAATTTCTTTTAAAATGATACTACTCATGAGTAGTACAAAGATACACTGCCGGTATGATAGATCGGTAATATCAATAATAGTGAAAAAATAATAAGAATAATAAACAAATGTTAAATCAACAAGGATAAAGTTGCTTTATGTGACCTAAAATGTTTGGAAATCATTGGAAAAGTTTTGAAGGGAAAAGTCATACCACATACGATAAATGCTACCAAATCATAGGTCCAATGAAACCGTACATATTTTTACTTACTCAACACCGGCTTGCGAACAAGCACGGTGCTAACGACACAACAATAATAACAATAAATATAACGGTATGGGGGTCTTTGGGATACATAACATAGGAATCTTTTTAGAAACGTCGGCCATAACGGCAACACGTGTCGTAGGTTCTTTCATAAGAATGAGTTCCAATAATGTGTCTAACGGTAGATCTGAACGTTCAAAAATGTGCCAGAACGAATTCAACGACGTTTCTGGAACCTTGTACAGTGAAAAACATAATCATCATTGAAATCAGTAAACTCTTGTAAATGCATTCCATATCCACAAGTACAGGTTCGTTCAGTTGGGATTAAATTCCTTCCAAAGAACACGAACCTTTAAAACTACAGGGAAGTTGTCGAAGGGGAGAACCACCTGGCATGGCTTCAAGGTCACAAATAGAACAANCCCAAAAAAAAAAAAAGAATCAACTTTTCATAAGAATTGCATATCTGTATATGTATATAATAAAATTAGTAAATAAAAAACCAAATAATAAAACCTTACAACCGATTAAAAAATTGCATTCAAGAAAGTTTTGTATCAATCCGATCAGGAATTTTTATGTAGTCATACCGGGTTTTAACTTAACTATCGTTGATTTTCTTGCACTCATTACCTAGATCATACGCCAAAGATAGTGGCATACATAACGCGTGTTCCAGATATCTTCATCTACGGAGTTGAAGTACTAGCTCCAATGCGATGCAGCGATTACCAAATACTCTTCGTCAAACCTAGGCATGGCTTCTTTGCTTGGCTCATCAAACTTGAGCAGTACGACTTAGTCGGCGGTGTTCAAACACCGCAACTGTGTTTGTCATTCTCCAATAACTACCAGGCCTCCGAGACCCATATGAAGACCGGCCGGATAACTATAGCATACTTTAGACCCTTAAAGAACAATTGAATATCTCAAACCGACAAACACTGAGTTTTCAGTATAAGTACTGAAATTCCATCCGTGATGCTTCCGCCAAGTGATACGTGCCTACCTCGATGGCCAAACTTGCCTACCTTTCCATCGCCTCTCTTGTTACAGCAAAGTTCGGAGTAAGACCTACCCAATCATATGAAAGCATTTCAGATTTTGCGGGTGCAAAATGCGTGCCAAACATTGCCACACTCAAGCCATCTATAGGCTTACAACTCTGGATCTTCACTCAATAGTACAATGTCATCTGCGTGGTCCAGTTCATACAGTCTTAACAGGTAGAACACAGGTGTCATTACTCTCGTACGAGATCAGGGCTGCTCCCAGAATATCTGTTACAAAATTGAAGGGCAAAATAAATCACCACAGAGGTTGAGTCTTCAGTTTGAGAGATGGAATGTGCGCTTTTGTTAACCAAAAAGCTGAAGAGGACATTGATTGTCAATCTAAAAGACCTTAGCATATCCGAAAGGTCAAAGGAAAGAGCCTAGACAAGGTTCGGTATCGTGGGTTCAAAACGAATTTGTGTTTCAGTCGGTAGTGACGGAGGAGTAACTGGCTCAAGTGAATGAGTCAACACTCCGATGTAATTATTGCCTTATGGTTAGGTTCTTATTAGAACTTAAGACTAAGGCTGGGAATTCTTATCGGTCGCCTAACCGTATCATCCAGCAAACTCCAATGAATGCATGAAGAATTCCATAGTGAATCGGTCGNATCAGTGCCCAGTGCATCCAGCAATGTTTTTCCCTGTTTTACTCTGTAACACTTGCCAATTCGTCGCAGGAGGCATTTCCGCTGGAAGGATATCTTACATCGGCCTGCTATCCACCAAATGTTGAGGTCTGGGATCCCTAATCGTAGGTTCAGTACAGTTGTGTAGTAGGATGTTCTTGGCTCGGCCTAGAAAAAACTGGTTGGTTTGCTTGAGGAGTAGCAGCTCCTTTTCGAGGCGTTCCAGCCTTGAACTTATGACCTTCAAATCTAGCCTATCTTTAGCTGCCTTCCCATGATTATGAGTCCTACCGCGAGGTTTTTCTACCTCTTCACCGTTTTCAAGGTTAGACTGCCATTTATCCTTTTCCATACGGGTATAAAGCACCTTAGGATGCTTAGACCCTGGCGCGTTTTCGGTGTTTTAGTTTTCCAGTTATTATGTGAGCCTCACTGTATTTTGCTGTACGATGATGATGCGAGAGCAGTCTTCAGCTAGCGTTATCTAGTGTCCACAAATCAACCTCAGGGATTTGTGCCCTTCATACAGTGTATATCTTTTAGGGCGGTGTGGCCCGGTGGTCACCAAATTATCACACCGGAGGACGTGTGTACCCATCACCACACCCTGACTTTCCCATTATGTGTTGTATGACAGCGTTTTGATTGGCTGCTTCCCTCTTCTTGTAAGTTGTACCATTTTATACTCAACAAAGGGAAGCAAAATTGAAAAAAGATAACTTAGCTTATCTCTGATGACATCACAGATGACAGCAGTCGCACCGGATACCCTTGGAAGCATACTCCCCAAGTCCATCACATTGGTTTGTAACGAAGGATTTTCAGTTTCAGTTATTACAACCATTAACCAAGCAATTTCGTGCGACGGTTTTGACTGTTGTCTTTTAGCCGCCCATTTCGATGAGAGCAGAATGGTGATTGGAATGCTGAGAGCAAATTCAAGGGGAAGATGGGTAATCAAGACTGGAATTACAAGAATAATGGGTAGATGTACGAGCGCCACCGTTTGCGACACCAGTCACATCACTCAATGTCTCTAACCACCGGTTACCATGGTCCCGGGGTCCGCATCCAGGGAGCCTAACGGGACCTATGTGAGCCAGTCTCCCGGTTAGGGGGTTTCAAACACTCGCACCAGGTCAGAGTTTGACCGCTGTTGACCTTTTCCCAAAGATGATCTTCATCGGCAAACATCGCTCACCGGGGCAACCTATCTGGTAGCATACGCAGCACGTCCCAACCAGCGTAATCTATACAGGTCGACTACCTGCTCCAGTGGACGACCGCGATTACCTGAAACCCGACGCCTAACCCCAGCGTTGCTCGTCCGGTTTCCCCACCAGACTCGTGCAATGCGACATAGACAGCGGTATTCGAACACCGACAATCTATTTTTATCCTGTTCCCGTAATGGCCAAGTGTCTGCACAGTGAAGTAGAACTGGTCGAAGTACCGCATCATATACTCGACCCTTCACGGACAGCTGAATATCACGACGACGCCACAGATGTCTCAAGTTGGCAAATGTCAACCGCGCCTTCTGTATGCGTGCCGACACTTCATCCGTGACGCGTCCGCCAGGTGAGATACGGCTGCCCAGACAGCAAAATTTATCTACTTCCTCTATTACTTCCGCAGTCAGGATGAGGTTGAGGGCTGGACCAACCCGATCTTGTAGCAACATGTTATACTTTGAAGGTGCGAAACGCATACCGAACATGACTACACTTGCACTCAAACTATTCAGAAAAGCTTGCAACTTACCTAGATCTTTACTTTACAGCATTATATCGTCTGTATACTCAAGATCAGATGGAGATGGACATTATAGTAACCATTGCAAATTCTAAACATCAAAACGAAATTTAACACTTGAAAGAAGAACCGTAAAACTGGTGTAACCACGAATAGAACACCCAGTAAAAACTTTAATGACACATCCTTAGACCTGAACAAAACACTTTGAGGTACCCCGTTAAATGATCACACTATAAAGTTGCTTCGGTTATGACCAAATCAGTGACAAAGATGTGGAATACCTAACGGTATTCCACTTAGCTATAAAAAAGATATGCAGATAGGAGCACTTCAAAGATTCAAATCGTAAGCCGTTAACTTAAATCCTCTTGTGAAAGCCACAGAGGAATTAGTTTAATCACTATTGTCTCCAAACTCCCCGCTAGTATCACATTGTCTATTGTCCGCTGCACGTGAAAGATGCACGAGTGAGAACTAGGTTGGTTTTAGAGGTTGTATCGACCACGTCCGCACTCTTCACCAAATTTTAGAATGCACACTTCTCTCGTAGTCCTGTCATTTTTGTCACCCTCGATCTGACGGCGGTATTTCGACTCAATCGAGCGCTCTAAACTTTGTTGCTGCATCTATCTCGCACGAGATGTTTATTTCAATTTTTCGATCTCTTTATAATTATAACGAAAGCCGATTTGTCTTCGAGATATGTTCTTCGCACATCGGGCTACGACGAAGCCCGCTCAGTGGGGTAGGTATTGTACACAACAACAGGGCGGAGTCCTCTCTTATCGATTGGATCCCCGTCAACAGTCGTTTATGTGTAGTGCGTCTCCAGGGTTCAACCAGCGTCCGGAAGGGAAGCAACACCAAAACGTGTTTATTCATCGTACCAGCATATACACCGACCAATTGCAGTTCTGACACACAAAAAGACAAGTTTTATGGTAAACTCATTCATCTCAGTCGGTTGAGTCGAAGCTCCGACATGGTTGTACTTGCAGGTGACTTCAAAGCGCAAGTTGGAAAACTGGGCGCATCAGAAGCTTGCCTAGGCGGTAGTTGTGCTCTGCCCAGCCAACGAACAGATAACGGTGATCGACTTCTTCAGTTCTGCGCAGACCATCATCTGTTCCTATCAAGCACGAACTTCTGACACAGCTCTGGACGGACGGCAACGTGGCGCTCCAGTTCAACTGGTACGCTAACTCAAGTCGACCATATAGCAGTAAGTTACCGTTGGCATGGCTCAGTGCAAAATTGCAGCTCCTATTGGACCACCCGCGTTGAGTCTGACCACGCATTACTTTTGATGCAGTTCACTGTCCGACTTACTGGTCGACGACAAAACCAGCAAACTCGGATAGCTCATCATCGACTATCTGTTCCAGCCGTTCGTGCACTCTATGACTCAGAGATAGTGCGTAAGCTAAGCGCGCCTCAACGTGATGATTTAAATGAGCAGTGGGATCAGATTAGGCGAGCAATGCATTCCACAGCGAATGTTGCTTGTGGGACTGAGTCCAACAGAGGCATTGAGTATCTGATGAATTTGTAGCACTGATGGATCAGAAACGACAAGTCCCTACCTGCCAGGACCAAAATAAAGTCAGCTCACGAAGAGCCTCAAGAAGGACCGTGAAAACTGGTGGGCAACAATAGCTAGTGAAATGGAAATCGCAGCTGAATCAGAGAATAGTCAAAGACTGTTCCGACTGATACGCAACACGGGAGGTTAGCGAACTCCAGTTAGTGAAAGTCTGCGATAGGAGGGAACAGTTCAGCTGGCCTAGTGCTAACCAGGCTGCTTCATCTACAACTGAAGCTCCGTGGGCAGTGTCATGCGATCCTTCAGTAGAAGCAGAAGTTCAGTCTTGCATTCAAGCTCCGAAGCGAGGAAAGTCAGCAGGACCGGATGAGCTCCCTCCCACTGTTTTCAAGATGGGAGGTGATAACCTCGTAAGTTCTGTTACTACCCTACTGCGCAACATTTGGACGCCAGAACACATTCCTTCATCTTGGGGGGAATCACTGATTGTTCCCATTTTAAAGAAAGGATCTTGCAACGATCGCGAAGACCACCACGGGATCAGTTTGATCACGATCGTCACCAAAGTGCTAGCCTCGGTCCTACTTCGACGTCTGACCCCTTTTTAGAGAGATCAACATCTGTGAATAGCAAGCCGGATTCCTGCCTGGTTGTGGATTTATTGACCAAATTTTTAC